CCACACACACACACACACACACACACACACACACACACACACACCAAAACCCAGATAAACACACAAATTTATGTGCAACATGTGCACACACCCCAAACATTCACCAATCTGACCCATCTTTCTTTTCTTCCACGTTTGCCCCATGGGGATGAGGCTGTCCCAGGAAAAGAACATTCCATAGCTTCCCCCTCATGCCCGCTCCAAAGTTGGCACCAAAGACCTCAGAGCAGTGAGTTCCCTTTTCACAATGGGCTCCAAGCACAAGCCTGAAGACCCACGGGCAGTGGTCCCACTCCCGGTAGGGGGAAAGCCAGGCCTCTGTAGCACCCACCAGCCCTCCCTGTGTGAAGCACCTCAACCATCTTCTGAAGGTTCAGCCAGGGAAAGGTTAGGATGAGGGCAGATTTTAGGTGAAAATAACGTGGTCAAGGTTCCTGCCTACCCTTTCCCCACCACTGAAGGGTACCAAGGGTGGGCTGGGTGCTGAGGAGGACCAGCCCCAGAGTGGGCCGCAGTTCTGTGCATACAGCGAAGTTTTTTCTGCAGCCAGCTCTAGCTGCCTGACTTTATCCTGAATTCTTGTCTTGCTCTGCTCTGGCAGACGGCACCTGACGGCTGGAAGAACTCTGTCCGCCATAACCTATCTCTCAACAAGTGCTTCGAAAAGGTGGAGAACAAATCAGGAAGTTCCTCTCGCAAGGGCTGCCTGTGGGCCCTCAATCCAGCCAAGATTGACAAGATGCAGGAGGAGCTGCAGAAGTGGAAGAGGAAAGACCCCATTGCTGTACGCAAGAGCATGGCCAAGCCAGGTGAGGCTGACAGGCCGTGCAAGGGAGAGCGCAGGGATCCCATGAGCCAAAGGAGAGAGAGGGGGTGAAAAAAAAAAACTGAACAAGAAGAATGGATGAGTGAGGAAAGAGCGTGAGTGCGGTTCCAAGGCCGGGGAGGGTTTGTGGGGAAAGGGAGGTCTCATGGTGTTCCTCTCTCTTGGGCCTTTTCAGAAGAGCTGGACAGCCTCATTGGAGATAAGAGGGAGAAGCTGGGCACACCACTGCTGGGCTGCCCACCCCCTGGTCTAGCGGGCTCGGGCCCTATCCGGCCCCTGGCACCTCCAGTTGGGCTCTCCCAGCCGCTGCACTCAATCCACCCAGCTCCGGGCCCTATTCCTGGCAAGAACCCCCTGCAGGACCTACTTGGGGGGCACGCGCCCTCCTGCTATGGGCAGACATACTCGCACCTCTCATCGGGCCTGGCCCCTCCTGGACCTCCGCAGCCATTGTTCCCGCAGCCGGATGGGCATCTTGAGCTGCGGGCCCAGCCGGGCACCCCCCAGGACTCACCTCTACCTGCCCATACCCCACCCAGCCACGGCACCAAGCTGCTGGCTGAGCCTTCCCCAGCCAGGACCATGCATGACACGCTGCTGCCAGATGGAGACCTTGGCACTGACCTGGATGCCATCAATCCCTCTCTCACCGACTTTGACTTCCAGGGTGAGCTGGGGGTGGGAAAGGGGAGGTGGGACAAAACCGGAGAGGTACACCTGGCAGTGTGGCCCATCCCTCCAAGTCTTCAGGCTACAGCCTGCTAGCTGCCAGGTTTCTGGTCAACTGAAGCAGAGAAGGCCGGAGCTGGCAGGGGGTGTTAAGGGGCAAAAAGGAATGCCCTTGCCCTCCTCCTGGGGCCCCTAAATATGTTCCCACTGACCCCATCATCAAACCACTCTCAGCTCTGGGTAGTCTGGAAAGGGCCTGATGTTTCATTTTATACTTGGTTGTCCTGAGAATTCTAACATTCCTAGAAGCAGCTGCATCTTCTGAGTTTTACCTTTTAATGCAGAGGAAGAAAAGAGAGCTTCCCCCTAGATGAATGTCAGGCCTCAGAGCTAGGCAGGTCCTGGAGAGATTTGGGGGTAGGAGTCTGGGGAGAGGTTCTATCCATTCCGCTCCATCTCTGCATGTGGCCAGGCCCACCCATTCCCATCTCAACTCCAGTGTATCCCAGGCCCTGGTGCTGACCACAGGAGGTTTGGAGGACGGTACTAACCCAGGCCTCCGACTCCCTGCATACACTGGGATGGGGAACATCCACAGGCAGGTGGAGGCAGCTGACCCTCCAAGAACTCCCAATCTGATGGGGAGACAGTGCAGGTCTTGGGAAGCTATTGTAAGAAATGCAGCTAGATACTTGCCCCCGTCCAGAAGTGGGGAGCAGGGCTCAACAGCCTCAGAGGAAGCTATAGACATGTGGGCTACTATAAACATTTACTTGACCCCTACTAACTATCAGGCAGCATGCTAGGTGCTTTAAGTGTGCTCCCTGGGTGACAAGAACCCCCTATAGGATGGGAGGGATTATTAAACCCATCTCACAGAAGCACAGAGGTTAACTTACTCAAGGTCACTTAGCTAGAAAGAGAGAGAGTTAGGATTAGAACTCAGGCAGCCAACTTCAATAAGTGTTTATTCTGGCCTCCTTCCTTCATCTCCTGCAGCCCTGATACCTGGGGCAAGCTCCAGGCCCTGGCCTGCCATGATGCAGGTCACATGACACAAAGAGGAGGATCAGGTGGCACCCTTATTTGCTCCTCAGCATAAGGTGTGCTTCCTGGCTCTGCTCTTGTCCTTTGGGCCCTGCAGTGAAGGAGGCCCAGGAAGCCAAGCCCAGCCACCTTATCGGGTCCTGCAGGGCACTGTTAGAAGATCTGGGGTCTGGGTTGCAGATCTACCTTCCTTGAGAGCCTGGGCAACAGCCAGGATAAAACATTCCTGGGGCCCCCTCCTCAGGCTACATCAAACCTTCTAACAGGCAGCTTTCAAATCCTCAACCCTCCCCAACCTGCCCCCCCACCCCCCAAAAAAAGAGCCACAGAGGTCATCTGGGCTATGGCTTTCAGACCATACATGGGAAGAGGAATCAGAAAGGTTCAGCAACTGCCTGGGGTCACACAGCTAGTGCCAGGGTCTGTTCCCCAGTCAGTGTTACCCCAATCCTGCTCTATTTAGCATGTGAGAACCATGGGTGGGGGGAGGGGGACATAGCGGGCCCTTTTGGTGCCTCCCATGACAGCTGTTCTCTCCCCCAACTAGGAAACCTGTGGGAACAGCTGAAGGATGACAGCTTGGCCCTCGACCCCTTGGTACTGGTGACCTCGTCCCCGACATCATCTCCAATGCCACCAGCCCCCCCACCACCGCACTGCTTCCCCCCTGGGACCTGTCTGGCAGAGACAGGCAATGGGTCAGGTGACTTGGCACCACCAAGCAGTGGGGGCTCAGGGGCACTGGGTGACCTACACCTCACCACCCTCTACTCAGCCTTCATGGAGCTGGAGCCCACGCCCCCCACGGCCCCTGCTGGCCCCTCCGTGTACCTCAGCCCCAGCTCCAAGCCCATGGCCCTAGCATGAGACATGCCCAGCAGCGGCTCCAGCCTTTGCCTGGCCTGGGAGTCCCAGCGGGCCGCCCACGTTGGGCTCACTTTAAAGGTCAAAGAAGGAATACACTCCCTATCCCCTATGGCACTAAAGCCAACTTGTTTGTTAGCTGGTAGCTGGGGGTGGAGAAGACACCACCCAGGGTGCTGCCCCTCACACATTTCTGCCGCCCGGTGGGCCAGCTCCTCACTCAGGGCCCCTGAAGAACAAGTGTCCAGGCAAGAAGAAAACACACTCTCCCTAGCTCACACTCATCCACACTCAAGCCTTCAGGCCCGTGTGCACGCACACAGTTATTCAGACATACACCCACCCACATACCTTATATCCAGAGGAATCAGGACTACATCACAGAGCCTGACTTCATTTCTGGGGCAGCTGAGAACTGAGGGCTTTGGTTACCAAAAGCTCAGGGCCCCCATGCCAGGTCCAAGACCACCCTGAACCCTATTCTGACGTCCACGTTCTCTGCCGGCCTGTCCCCCTCCAGGCGTGATCTTCCCCAGAAGTCCCTGTATTTATTCTCCCATCTTTATCACAGCAGCCCATCAAGGAGGAAGAAACATGGAGCCCCTCCCCAAGTTGTCTGGGGACTCCCCGGAGGGCTGCTACTTAACAGCACCAACTCTTCCAGGCTCTACCCGTCCTCAGCATACTGCTCTGTCTAGCCTTCTCCAGGGTGACACACAGGAGGGGCAATGTCCACCCCAGGACCAAACTGAGCCCAATTCCAGCACAAAGTGTTTGGAAAAGCCCCTGCCCTTGGAAACTTGAAAGTGAACTCTTCTCCCAGCCCTGGGTGCAGGAAGGGCCCCTCCAGGTCACCCCAGTCTCACTCTTTCTCTATAAGAAGTTCGTGTAGTTTAGGCCCCAGCTTATTAGTGACTTCCAACGGCCTCAGGCAGCCTGGGCATTAAGGGAAGGGAAGCCTGGTATAGGCTGACGGGGTAGCACCCATGTCCCCTTTCTCTGACTGTTTGGCAGACCCAGGACGCCCTTGGAGCTAGGGGGTGTGGCCCAGTTGCCTGTCATTCCCTACCCGAGAGCTCAACCCCCACCAAGTGGGGGCCCTCAGACTACCCTGGGCCTGGGTGACAAGAACCCCCAGAAGTTGGCCCCAGGTTCAGGTGAGGCACAAGCAGATCCCTCGATGGCCTGCCATCGTCCCCTGTCCTGGAACAATAAAGCAAGTGCCTTGTGGTCTGGGCTACCTAGCCTTCCTGTCTGGATCTTCCCTAACTGTGGATGCCCTGGCTCTGTGACTCCACCCACCCTCAACCAGTACTGTGACGCTTCCAGATCCAAAGAGTGAGGCGTATAGGAGGACGTCCTGGGAGGATGAGGAGCAAGTGGGCGGGGCTTCGTCCCAGGAGAACTTCCTAAGTGATGCCAGGAAGTAGCTGCCCTGCCCAGAGGAGGAGAGAGGATGCCTGCCCCCACATCCCTTCCTACTGAGGTCCACTGCCTCCCTCCTCACATCCCCCATCTCCTCACACAAGAAAGGGTCACTTCCCTGTCCAAGACGTGCCTTCCTGACCCCTATCTTTCCCTGGATGGGGCTCTGGTTTCCACAGGGACATGAACGGAGCCGTCTGGTGCTGTGTGCACTGCTGGCCCTTGAAAGCGGGCTCTGGAGGGTCACGGGCCTACTCGGTCCCACTTTCAACTCACCTCCTAGATACCACCTCCAGGTAGGCTGTTGTCACCAAAGGGCAGCCCCACACTCTGCCTGAGCAGGAATGGGGACGGTGTAGGAGCCAAATGCACACACGTGAGCCTCAAGTCTCAGGACAGCCCCAGGTGGGGCCTCTGCTTAGAAAGTTCTTCCAGGGGCCAGGCTTGGGGGCCGGCCAACATCGCCTGCCTACCCCAGAGGACAAGTCCGCAGAAGATCTCATAATAAAACCCCACCCTACATCAGCACCCTTCCTCTCAGGCTCTAAGACTGGGTCCAGGGCCAGGGGGGAAGACCCACCTGCCCCAGTCCAGCCCTGGCTGCATAGGAAAGGGGGTGAAGGCTCAATGTCAAGTCCCCAGGTCACGTTGCACCCCAGTTCTGACCAACCCCAGGCCTGGGTCTTGATGCCCAAACCCCCAAGAACAAGGCAAGTGTTTCATGGGAGAGTTTTACTGGGACTCACTTCCTTGCCTCAGACACTTGGACCCTCATGGCTCAGGCAAACCTACTCTACATCTCCAGCCTAGGCAGTGAGCCGAGGACATCTCAGTCACACTTCTGTCCCATGGGCCCATTCGGCACGCCTACGAGTGAGCTGGCCCCCATACAACTAAGACAGGTAGCAAGCCAATAGGACTTCAAGTCTTGTTTTAGTTTGTAACCAGACTGGCCCTTAGACTTTTAAACTTAGGCAACAGCTGCTCTCCGAACCAAGCCCCACGCTCCCGCTCATATGCTGCCCCCTGCTGGCAACCTCATGCGAAGTGTCCAACCACCATTTTAGGGTGAACAAGTCTGAAAGGATGCAAGGTCTGGAAGTCCCCTATTTTGGGGAAATTATTGGGTTCAGGGGCTCTACACCTGAGGGTTCTAAAACTGGTTAGAATTCATGGGTCCGTGAACTTGGATGAAAAAAATCATACCTTCATTTTAATTCATCTCTCCCTCAAATTTAGCATTTCCCTAGATTATGAATGTCAACTACAAATCACAATGGCTTTAGCACAATCTGTAATTTTGCCATCAGATTGAGTAATCACAGATCAGAAATCACAGATGTTTTCATATGACATTACAGGTATTGCAGAAGGGATATGGTTTATTGTCTATATATAGTTTTTAATACATAAAATATATAGGATTACGATACATTTTATGTACATAAAGACCTTATTGTCCGTAGGCTTCAGCAGACAATAACAAAGGGGTCCATGACACACAAGAAAGTCAAGTACCCTTGCTTTAGATGGCAGGTGGTGAGGAAGTGGAGGGTGGCTCTTTAGGGGAGGGGCCAGGCTAGGGGGAAAGGCACTGCAGGCTTGAGACAGCAGCTCTTTACCAGCTAGAAGGCAAGCAAGCATGTCAGTATTTTAAAATGGGTTTGGCAGTCCCAACGTGTACCCTGCAGGCCAGCCCAGCTAGGCACAAGTGGTGGGTCTCCCTGTAGTATTTGGGCTTTCCTGCTCAACCCAGTGGAAGGGTCCTCATGACAACTCTGAGAAGTCAAGGCAAAAATATCTGACAAACTTTAGAGACAGATTCTGAGGCCCAGATCCAGCAAGGTCCAGGTCAACCTTCAGGGTCAACAGTTCATCATGATCAGAGCCAGGACCGGCCCCACCCCACCCTGTCTTCTTCCTCCTTCTACTGCCCAGGGATCCCTTAGGTGCCTAGGGAAAGTGCCAGGAACCAAACGCAGCAAGTTGAGCCAGTAGCAGCAGGACCAGTGCCAGAGACATGAGGACTTAAAAGGAAGCAGGGAGCCAAGGGACACAGGCCTCTCTGGGTGAGTGCCAACCTGGCACTTGCTCTAGGGATAAGGACCTCAGAACAGTGATCTCCCTCTCTGTCTGAAGGTAGACGTGCAACAGGCCCAATCCAGAACCTCAGCCCAATTTGACTTGGCAGGAGCAGTGAGGACTGTTATCAGGTGGTAGGGGAGGGTCCTTTTCCTGATACCTGTGTAGGCCTAAAAGCCTCTCTTGTTCACTATAGCTTCTCATCTCACTCCATAAACAGCACCTCCAACTGCAAATACTTTTTTGTTTTATTTTGTTTTTTAAGATTTTATTGGGGAATTGGGGGAGGGGAACAGCGCTGGGGAATTGGGGGAAGGGGAACAGACAAGTTGCTGTTGTTTTGTTCTTCACTCTAGTTGTGGAGGATGTTGCTTCACTGGCCCAAGCTGGCACCATCATTGCGCTCTTCCCCGGGCGAGGCAGATCAGTCACTGGCCTCTGGACGGCCGCTCATGGTGGCTGCTGGCCGCTCATGCTGGCTGCCAGCTACACATGGTAGCTTATGGCAGCCCACTGCAGCAGGGGACTGCAGCCTACACGGTCGCCAGCAACTCACGGCAGCCCAGCTCCAGGTCGAGCTGTTGTTCAGCATCTTAGCTGTGGAGGGCAGTGTCACTGGCCTTCATATGTGGGATCCGAACCAGGGCCCTCTGGCATCCCAAGCCAGTTCTTAAGCAACGCGCCACTTGGCCGGCCCTGCAAATACTTTTATACTTACACAGCATCACCTGCAAACCAACACTCCATGCCCCTTCCTCACCTTTGTGGAGTTTCCTGGTGAAATTCTTTTCTCCCTTAGCTTTAACATAGCCTGCTCTAAAACAGGCTCCTGTGTCCACCTCTCTGGTTGCTCCTCCTGTCTCCATGACTGGTTCCTCTCCCATCTGCCCTACTCTCAAAAGCTCCCTGGCCTTCCCTAGGGTTATCTGCTCTCATTCAGTGACCCTCAATTTGGGGGTGTAGACTATTAGCATTGAAAGCCCCATTAATTGGAGGGCAGGTGGCATTTCTGCACACTACTCACTAAACACCAGTAGTGCCAGCTGGGGATCTCATAATCTCAGCCACCATCCCAGCTTCAGTAATCACCTTGTGACCAATGACCTGCAGGCATCACCATTTCCAGCCCTCATCCCCTTCCAAGTCGGTGCCCAAATTTCCTGTCTCCTGATCACCTCCTCTAGGACATCTGTACCACACCACAGCAGATCCCAGCTTGAACTCATCACCTCCCACTCGCCCCCTTGCACATCCAGCCTGGGTTCCCAAGCCCAGTAACAATACTCTTATCTACCCCAACACTCAGGTCACAAAGCAGGGATTCAGCTTCAACGCCTCCCTGTCTCCAAGCCCCCCATCCAGCCACCAGACCTGGAGATTTTGCCTCTTAAAAATCTCAACTTCATCTATTTCTCCCCATCTCCATGGATATTGACCTAATTCAGGTTCCCTTCATCTCTCACCCAAATCCCAGTAGCACCTTCCTCAGCACCCCTCTGCCTCTGGTATGACAGTGCATGGGCTGTGGAGTCAGACACCTAGATTCAAATCCGGACCCTGCCACTTAATAACTGCAACATTGGTGAGGCAAGTTCACCTCTCCGGGGCTGCATTTTCGACAAAATGAGAATAGCGCCTTCCTCAGAAATTGTGAGCGTTCTGTTAACACATATAAAACATCCAGCCGTGGGCCTGGCACTGGATATACATTGGTTATTATTACTAATGTCTCACTCATTCCAAACCACCCTTCACTCAGCAGCCAGAGATAATCTGACCAGGTCATCCTCCTCAGTGGGTCCTCATCTTCCTCAGGTGAAGCCCCAACACCTGAACAAGGCTCCACAGATGTCTTCCTTTCCCACTATAAACATTCTCTTGAATTCACCTGAAATCTTGCCTCCTTTGCTTTATGCTGTACTTTGTGCCTAAATGCTCTCTCCCCATCTCTTCCTGTTAGTCGGCCCAAGTTCTCAAGCACCTGTTCCAATACCTCCTCCTCCAAGAATCCTTCCCAGAACCCTCCAAGCAGGCGACTCTCGCTCTCCTGTATGCCCAGTCCATCTCATTCTAGGAGCAGGTTTTGTTCCCTGTGTTGCTCATTTTGAAATTCCCAGAGTTCCGCCCAGGTACTGGCCCCCAGCAAGAGCTCCCCAGAACCTAGCTGAATTCCAGTGTGTCTAGGCTCTTAGGGGTTCAATTTAACTCCCAGTCCAGAGAGGACTGGCACCAGGAGTGTCCAAATGAGTGCCTGAAGGGTGTGAACCCTGAGGTAAGTTCACCACCTACCTCAGTTCCTGAATGTCCTCCTTAAGGAAATGAAAGACCTCCTCTGGATCTGGGGCAGTGTTATATGCCAGGGGGTTCCCCAAAGCAGCTGAGAGCAGGAAGGCTCTAGGACTTAGCCATGGCCCTGTCCACCTTGTCTCTGATAAGGGCTAAAAGTATAACCTAGTGGTCCTAGTGGCCTCAGGGGGTCAGAGAAGGTAGGGTAGAGAACAAGACCATCTCCCACACCTTCTTCACACTCTAAGTTAGGGCACTTGTCCCCGTCTCTGTTCTGTCAGGGTTGGCTATGACTTTGGGCCAAAGCGTCCCTTCTCAAGGCCTGGGTCTCCTTCTTTATCAAAGGAAAAACCCTTTCCAACTACATGTACTAAATGCTGACTCTAGGTACCAAGAGGATTAGGGCAAAAGAAGAGTTAGGAATCACATTATTGCCTGCTTCTAACACACACACACACACACACACACACACACACACACACACACACACACACACACACTCGCTGGCCCACAACCAGAGAACAGAAAAGGAGAGTTTATTGAAAACTATATACAGTTGGTCCAGCCCCTACCACAGGTGGCAATCTGGGCAGGTCCCTCCCACACCCCAGGCAGTATCTTGGCCCCTGATGGTAGAGGCTAGGGCTGGAGCCAAGGCCCAGACTCCCTTGGGAAACTTGGCAGCCAGACCCCACCACACATCTTTGTCTGTGAATTAACAAATCTAAATGGCCTGTTAGTGGTGGGCAGGGGACAAGGAATGGGTCCCTGCCCCAACCTAGTCAAAGTCTGGATAGGAGAACACTATTCTGAAACGTGGGCCTAAGAGGCCCGGCTAGGCTGTCCGAAGTCCTGGCTACTCCTCTCACAGGAGGCCTTCCTGGACATGGAGGCAAACAGCCCCCCTATCACCCCACCCCACCCCATGTGCCAGGCTCCATGAGCTTCATGGACTTGGACTGGGGACACGAGGCACCCTCCCTCCGAACACTGACTCAGGGCTCCTGAAACACTCCCCAGGCAGAAGACCTAAGGCTGAGAGATGAGTGTTGGGGAAGTCACAGCTGAGGACCCAGGATCCTCCTGGGGTAGGGGGCGATTGGAGGAGTCAGGGCGTCCCACTGTAGGAATAGTCTGCTTTGTTGTGCATCACCAGCCGGTCATCCACAAAGTAGAAGCTGTCAGACTGTGTCTCATATGGGTGACGGATCATCTCGTTGACTGTAAGAGAAGCCCAGCCAGTGGGAGAAAAGGTCAGAAGCCTGAACCAGGCCACAGCAGGGCCTTCAGGACTGTGGACAGGGACAAGCTAAGCAACGTCAGAGCTCCCCCAGCCTCTTTGAGCCTGAGTTTCCCTATAGGTGACATGCGAACGGTGGCCAGACACCAGAGACCCTTGCCACAAGGGTGGCAAGAAAGGAGGGGCGTCAGACCCACACTCTGGGTCCCCTCACCCGCAGGGCCCTGCCCACTCACTCAGCTCCTCAGAGAGAGGGGGGAAGTCGTAGATGTGCTCGCAGGTGTTCTTGCTGCTGGGGATGCAGAAGCCAAAGTGGAAGTCAAAACTTTTGAGCAGCTGGTTGCGGAAGTAGTGCCTCTCAATCATGCGGAAGTTGTTGACAGGCTTATCTCCCACTGTGAACTCCACCCTGAGTAACAGAAGGGGGCAGGGCTGAGCTCAGCCTTGAAGTCAACCAGCCAGGCTCAGGACAGAGTGCCTCTAAGAACTCAGAAAGGGATCACTCCCACCCTCACCCTCACCCCCAGCCCTCGCCACCCCCTGGCCCAGTGACTCACGTGGCTCCCACCTGCCTCAGGCGGAGGAAGGCAGGCGTGAACTGGTAGCGGACAAAGCGCCCAGCATTGGGGTCCAGGTCCCGCCGGTTGATGGGCAACCGCTCTGTAATGCACCCCAGCTGGGGCTCAGTGGGCTTCAGGCTGGGGCCCATGCCCACCCAGGGTTTCACCTCAGGGGCCCTCTCTCTCAGATTAAAAAAAAAAAAAAAACTCCCAGGAGAATCTGATGCACATTGAGGGTTCAGACCTTTGACCGATAGTTTCACCTGGGAGTTCTAGGTCAGCCGGTCAAAATTTCAACCGAGGTTCCCAGGGTCACAGGAGCAACGGAGGCCTGGGGCCTCCGGGTCTGCAGTTCCCAGGGAGGCCTGCAGAGGGCAAGCTAGGGACTGAAGAGACAGCGCTATCCTAAAATGTCCCATCCCAGAAACAGATGGGAAAGAAAAGGAGGTTCAGCCCAGGCTGAGGCCCCCATGCCTGGCAACTTGTGGGAATGCTGGGGTCCAAACCACAGGTCTGCTGACTCCTCTGCAGCCTGAGGGGTCCCTGGGCAGCCAACTTCACAGCTCCCACCCACCTCCCTGTCGATAGCCCACCCAGCCACTCACCTGAGACTGGGGGCTTTTTGATTTCAAAGAGGACAGTGCCCGAATCCATGTCCCGAATCTTGAACCTGACGAAGTCAATCTTGTAGATATTCTCCTCCGGGGAGCACAGGTAGTCTAAGGGAGACAGGTGGTTGCTGCCAGCTCAGCTTTTACAGACCAGATCTCTAAGGTCTTCTGATCTCCAGAAAGAGAACTGAGCTCCTGCCCTGGGGGAAGCCCCCACAGTGTAGGGGAGACATAGATAGCTCTGTCATTGGGATCTAATGGGGAAGGAAACAGCTCCACCTAGTGGCCTCTGGGGTCAGGGAGGGGCAGGATGAGAAGGGTGAAGGACAAGGCCATCTCCCCCACATTTTCCCTCCTACGCTGGAGTTGAGGGCCCTTATTCCAGCCTCTGCTTTGCCAGGGCTGGCTTGGTGACTGTGAGCCAAATAGGTCTCAATATAATAGGGAGCCCCTAGCATGAGAAGGGAGATACAGCCCAGCCTTTGGGAACATCACTCTAAAAGGGGTGAGTGACACAGCTCAGCCTTAGGAGACAGTCCTTCTCTGAAGGACACCCCCACCCCTACCACATAGCTGCCCCTGGTGCTACATCTAGGAATGTCAGGCAATGACTGTCCCTGACCTGGGTAGTGCTGGAGCAGATGAACACCACCTTCCGTGTTCCTCCTCAACCCCCACGTTCCCCCTTCCCCACCAGTCACCACGTCTCCCACTAAGCAGCTTATACAAGCTCAGCTCCCTTAAGCAGCTTAGCCAAAACTCTGCTGACTCAAGCCCAGAGCATGGACTATTGGGGGAAGGGGGCCACCTTTGTCCCCATCCCCTGTTGATCTCCAAATGGGAGGAAGTCTTAGCAAACAGAGGGAACCCCTTCAAAGGTCATCTACCCACTCTTGCCGCTGACCCACTTCCAGAGAGAAGAGTATGGGGAGGACAGGAAGAGGGTGTGGCAGGTCTAACAGGGGTGTGCATGAGGGCAAGGGGAGTCCTCAGTGCTCAGAAGAGGAACCGGGAACAGTGGTGGGCAACGCCTGAGGAAGCGCAGGAATACCAGGGCCTGATTCAACCCTCACTGCTTTTGTAGCAGCCACTGCAAGTGGTCAGGGAGGCCCTGGCAACAAATAGGAAGGAGCAGAGAGAGGTGCAGTGAGGGGCTCTGGTGCTGTCAGCCTGCACAGCTTCACACCCTCCCCAGAGAGGCCCGGAAACCACCCTCCAGGCCCCTGAGCCACCTCCTATTCCTCTGGGGCAGGAAGAGGAAGTAAATGTAAAGTCATTCTCTCTTCCCCAAGCTGGGGGCAGCCCCCTCCAGGAAGCCCTCCTGGTAGCCACAGGGTCTACATAGGGCTTGAGGGAGGGGCCTGAGCCCTGGACTGTCCACCGCAGCCCATGGTGGGGAGAGGGCAGGAGGAATGGAAGTGGGCAGCCCCTACCTTACCCTGTGCATACCTTATTTTCACAGAAAGTAAACACCAGTCCAAAGATGTAGAAAGAAGGTTCAGAGCACAGGGAGAGGAGGTGGGAGAACTGCGGGCAGGATCCCAGCTCCCTGTAAAGACCCCCTTCCTCCATTCTCCAACTTTTGGAGCTTCGCCTCTCATTTGGAAACAACTTCTTGCAGTCTTACCTCAGTTTCTTCTACTGCAAACTCAACCTATCAACCCCTTTGTCCTTAGAGGAAGTGAGGAAAGGGGGATGCCAACAGCTCAGGACACCACTCCCTCCCTTCTGCCAGGGAAGGACAAGGCCTGGAACCCAGGGTCAGTAGCCAAGGGCTCAGAATACAACTGCTCCCTTCTCCTCTGCCACAAATAGCTTCCTAAACTGGATTCAGGGCCCAGTAATCCAGGAGGAGCAAACCTCAGATCTATGTGATTGGGGTCAGAAGGGACCAAGAGGTGCCGGGGCGGAAAGCTCTGGCACCCTGTTCTCAACTTCTACAGAGCAAAGGGCTCCCATGAAGCCCCTTCCCCTATTCATACCCCACAGATACCCATCTCTAAGGGCTATGCATTTCCTCCAAATTAAGAAATAAACAGTGATATGTCAGCTAGAACCCCTCATAGTTGCAAAATAACCTCTCAAGTTACCTAGGACCTGGACAGGTCAGACTGACCTCCAGATATCCTATAAGGAAGTTGTGCCTCAGAGCTAACCTGAATCCTAAATGCTGCTGTTGCCAATTACAGCCTAACTGGGACCAACATAGACAGGTCCAGGCCCCCTCCCTTTACCAGTGTCTGCTCGGGCAAGGCAGCTCAACACTCCGGGGGCCCAGCCAAGAATGGCTGCTGCCTGGCTCAGAGAAGAGGGAGAAGCTGGTCCCCCAGGGACCCAGATGTACAGGCCTAGACCTGCCATCGTAGTCCCTTCCATGGCTCTGACTGGCCGCCCTGGGCTCTGCAGCTCCTCTAGCACCTGCAACCCCACCCCCACAGACAAGCCCCAAGAGTTGCTCTCACAGAGGGAGCCAGGACAGGATTACTAATGAATGAGGCCAAGGTAGAGGGCCACGGCCTCTCCAAGTACCTTCTGTTCTTTGAGGCTCAGCCACCACCTCTGCCATGAGGCTTCCTAGTTCTTGTTCCCTGACTATGGTGACCCGCTCCGCTGCCCTGAATGCCCAGTCGTCTGCTTCCAGGCAGCAGCCATGCATAGTCCTGTGGGGCCTTCAGTATTACTCATAAAAGAGCCCTATTGACAGAGCATGCAGAGCATGTTAGGCACTGTGCAGTATCAGAGAAGTTATTTTCACAATAGCCCTGTAAGGTAGGTGTCATTATTCCCATTTTACAGATGAACATGCTCAGAGAGGTGAAGTTACTTGCTCAAGGTCACACAGCCAATTACATGGCAAAGCTGGAACTTCAACCCAGGCAGTCCAGCTCAGAAAATGAACCACAGTGGAGACCTCTGGGCCTCCCAGAGGGGGACAGGCCCTGGTCCAGGCTAAGGGAGGCATTAACCCACTCCCTTGAGAAGGCCTAGAGCCAACCCAATGAAACTTCCTGCTCAGGTCCTTTCCTGGGTAGGGGAATGGCCCTAGGCTTCCTAGGGGATCCAGGGTGAAGGCATTAATGGTCAGGGAGACCTAAGGGTTTTAAGATAACTCAGCCTCCCCCTAGCCTCCAGGGTGGGAACTGAGGACAGACTGCACTCAGCCCCCCTCCTCATTATTGCAGAGAAAGGCCTCAAAAGGCTCTAAAAACTCCATGGGGAAGGGGTCACAGTTGCAGCTGCTGCCCCACCTCCACCACGAGAAAGAAGGATGGACTCCTCAAAAACGAGTGGGGTGGAAATCACTAAAGGGAGAGGAGGGTGCACAGGAGATCAGGGGAAGGGGAGATATGGAGATCTCAGGCTTGGAGGCAAAAGGGTAGGGGACACAGACGAGGGGTACCCGGGTGGGGCAGGGGAGGCAGGGTGGGGCAGTGGTTGGTAGCACAGGCTTCATAATCGCTGCCCGACGTGGGTTGGAATCCGGGTCTGCCACTTGATCTTGGNGGCGGGGGCCGGGGCTTCGCGCGCCGCGACGGCCCCCACCCTCCCGCGGGCGGCGCTCCCTCGCCGGTGCTCACCGCCCGTGATCCGCTGCAGCCCGAGCACGTCCTCCGGCCCGATAGGCTGCTTCCTCTGCAGCGGCCCCAGCCTGGGCCGCGGGCCTGCCTCCGATTCTGACTCGGACCCGGATTCGGATTCCGCCTGCGGCTGCGGGTCGGACTTAGGCTCCACGCTCAGGCCCGAGGCCCCTGGAGAGGGTTCCGCCCCCGTCGCGGCCCCACCGCCGCCCTTCTTCACCTTCATGGCCTCGAGGGGCCGCGGCTCGCCTGCTGCCGCCGCCGCTGCCTGCGCGGGCTGGAGCGAAGGGGGAGCGTCCGCAGCCCCACCCCCGGCCGGGGCCCCAGGTACCGCCCCGCCCCGCCCTTGGCCCCGCCCACCGCCAGCCCACCCCAGCTGAAAGGCTCTGAGCGCACTGACCTGGGCTACTCACCCCGGGTAGGGTGGGGGCTCGCCCGGGGCTTCATTCATTTTTTCTCAAGGGGCCCTGGCTACCTCTTCTGTGCTCCGGCCACTGAGCCCTTCCCTCTGCACCTCAAGCGAGTTCCCACCTCAGGGTCTTTTCCTGGGATGCTCTTCCCCCAGGTGGCCTCTGCTTGTCCTGGTCTCAGCTCAAATGTCATCTGCTCAAAGGCTCCCCAGCCCACCCAATCTAAAGTACTAACCCCAGTCACTATCTGATCAGCCTGTTTTTTCTTCCTAATGCACTATCTGAAATTAGTTATATTTGTTCACTGACTCTTCCCCCTAAAAGATCAGTTCTGGGAAAGCCGGTATCTTGTTATTCTTTCTAATACCCCAGCACCTAGCACAGTGCTTGTTGCAGCCCTTGTTCAATATAGTCTTTTTTTTTTTAATTTATGAATGAGTTAGTATCTGAAGGTTTGCACTGGTACAAGCTATTTTGTCCCAGACGCCCTGCTAAAAAGCAGAAGTAGATGTTAGCAGCCTTCTTGGGCAAACCAGGACATGTTGAGGGACAACAGCCTAGGTGTCTAAGCCACCACAGGATCCTCCAGGACAAGGAGGCAGGAAGGACACATGGCCAGGTGGAAGCAAGGTGGATCTGTGAGCCCAGCAAGGCAGATACTAGGAAACCATTCCTTACACGTGAATGAAGAACAAAAGGGAAGCACATACCTCATATACCAATTCACATACAATGTTTATTGAGAGCCTAGAATATGCCAGACGCTTTCAAATGCTTATCACATTTAATCCCCACAACCACCTTGTAAGAGAGGTATCATTAGTGCTGTTTTAACAAGTGAAAAAAATGTGGCTCAGAGAGATTAAGTGGCTTATTCAAAGCTCCCCAGATGACAAGTGCAGAAACAAGGGTTTGAATTCAGGCAGTTTGAGCCCAAGTCTACAACCTTCACCATGGCACCACACTGCTTCTATGAAAGGATAAAGGGAACCTCTGCTACACACACACACAGCACCAGGCTGTACCCAACAGGTGTAGCTAGCCAGGAGGGAGGGGAGTAAGGGAGAGGGGGCCAGAGGTGACCTGTGCCTGGCCCCTTCCATGAGCAGTTGCTAAGGCTCTCCCTGAGGGGCTAGAGAGAAGTGTGGAGGGGAGGGGCTAGAAACCAACCTAGGTGTTCCCCGAATGCTCCCTCTCAGTGCAAGAGGGCTATGAGGAACAGGGCAGAGCACAAGCTGCCCCTGCCCCAGAGGGAGATAAGAAAGGGCCTTCAAGTTCAAGCCAGATAAGGTGACCCAGATGGTACATCTTTTGAGGATGGAGGTGGGGAACCTGAGCCAGAGGAATGGGAAGGGAAGGAAAGATGAACCCATCTTAGAGTGTTACATTTTGGTTGCTGCAGAGGCAACAGAGGAGGCTGGAGACAAGTCATTCACGGCAGGCCCCACTTATGTGCCCCTCAATCTAACATCTCCCACCCTGGCCAGAAAGAAAAAGGCTTCCTGCTAAGATGCTGCCCTGCTCAGTCTATCTTCTCGGGCTTTTTCCAGGACTTGCGGGTCTCCAGGAAGATCTTGACCAGAGATAGGAGGATGGGCACAGCCATAGGCAGAAAGAGCGGGATGTAGATGGCAAACTTCTGGTCATCGGGGAAATAGAGGAGGTGAAGGAGTGAGGGATCAAAAAAGGCACGCTCTGAGGACGTCACAGCTTCCTGGCTGGCAACAAAGGCAGAGGCCAGGTGCCCAGAGGCCAACTCCTCTGCTGCCTTCTGGACAGCAGCTACAGCCTTGTACACCTAGGAAGGGGCAAGCAGTTACTAGTTAGTCCTAGGCATTGGTGGGGGATGATAGGCTTTACTGTGTCTTCCGTCTACCAGACGGGTTGCCTGGAATTCGCCCAGGATATATGGAGGCCAGTAGAAAAGGGCTATGGTGTATTTTCTGAGTGCTTGCTTAAAACCTCACCCCACCCCACCCCCATCCCGCCACCCCCTCTGGACTCCTGCTGAGGGGCTGGCACTGCCCCCTGCAGGAAGCCTGGGACATTCAAGGTTGGCATGCCCACACATACCCTGGACCCCAACTGGCTTTCGTTTCATCACACCCTGGCCCTTGCTGGACATTCCAATCCTGGGCCACAGAATCCATCCCCTGTCCGCTTACCTCAGATGCCACATCGTCCTTGATGACAATGTTGCTGATCTTGCCCAGAAGCTGAGCCAGGGAAGTAAGAGTGGTGGTGGCTGTGGCCAGGTTCTCCACTGACCGAGCCCAGAGCAGCCGGTCCAGCTCCCAGGCCATTAGCCCTTCACTCTTAGGCTCTGAGAACAGGCATTTTGGTGGCACCTGGGGCTGAGCAATCCCAAAGAGCAGCCTGTAGGAACAGCGATGTCAATTCAAAGGGGCTGAGACTAGGCGGTGGGAGAAGATGACTAAGACTCCTAGAAAAACTACAAAGATTTTCAATCTTATCCAGACCCCCAGGGGTTTAGGGAAGTAGCTCAGGGTCTTGGGGGGTGAGTGGCAACACTAAGCAATCCAGTGCCCAAGCCCTGCTTTATTTAACCAGTGTTTCAGCTTTTACCTGTTTCTATATTGGACTGCCAAGATCTTCTTTGACAAAAGATTCCATGGCTAAAATATTTTTTATAACACCAACATGCTTTAATCCCCTCTTGCCCTGTCTACCCTCTCTTTGGACAACTAGGGCCACTGGGCCACCTCTGGACCACCTCTGACAAGACATACGTGCTGTGTCTCTCCAGTCCTGCACCCACAGCAGACATTGCTAATCCATCAGAGTCCTCTTTCCTGATGAGCTCAGACACAGCCATACAATCCTCAACATAGGGCATCAGGCAGCTGACACAAGAATTAACAGCTATTTTCTTAAGCATCCCTATCACACCCCCATGGACCTGACATTCGTGAGTCTATTTTTCTTTTTTTTTTTTGAGTCTATTTTTCTTAAAACAGTTTCTGTCAGCAACTAGTTCTTAGAAAAAGGATGAAGTGATTCTGGAAAACCTTTCTTGGTTTCCTAGGGCTCTAGGTAGAGCCAACGTATCTCTGCCAGGTTAGATTTCACTCCAGTCAGCCCAGGAGACTGTGTCAGAGGCAGGGGCCATGCCCCCAAGTAGATCACCCAGGACCTCACCGCAACTGAGCAAGGAACACCTCCATCACTCGCACCATGTCCACCTCAACTTTCACCGGCAGCTCTGAGGCATTGTAGACTTTGGGGTCCACGTTGTATACCTGCAAGAGGAAATGAGGTGGCCTCAACATCACACCAGGACCGTGTACAGCTCTGCCCTAGACACTCTGGAGGCCATGAGAGAAAAGGAAGATCTATTCTGTGCTCTTCAGAAATGACAAACCTGATGGTATAGCTAATATTTTTTGAATACCTAATAGGAGCATTCCATAAATTATCTCCATTACCCCCTCAAAAGTCCTGTAAAAGAGGTATTTTTTATTCCATTTTAGAGTTCCTACCCTTGAGAAACTCCCAGTCTAACAGGGGAGACAAAGTTGCCAGCCTTGCAAGACCCCCACAAATACAGCCAAGATCTATGATGTACACAGAAGAATCCTCAGTAAACTGCAAACCGCTTAGGGGTTATAGTATAGAAAATACTGACGAACTAAGAAGCAGTGGGGCTGGCAGAGGAGGGGCAAAGCTCACAGCACCCTCACCTCCTTGGTGCCTGCCCCTCCCGCAGGCTGGGCCACGGAGGACACCAGAGGAACAACAGAAGAGTCATCTCAGGGAATACCTGTCTGTCCCTGAAGCTTGGGCTCTGGGGTCTGCAGTGTGACTATTACCATAATGCCACCCCAGCGGGGACTGTGGAAGGCGTTTGTGGCCACGGGAGCCCCATCCTTGTCCTGAATGTACAGAGGGGCGTGGGCAAGCTCAGGAACATAGAGTAGGAAGTTGAGCACAGGGTAAAGGGAGGCAGCACTGGATCCTGCGGCACAAAGAGAAGGGGAGTCAGAAAACCAGAACGTGTTGGGTCTGCATCTTAGCTCCAGCTCCGCCTCTACCTGGAGGCTGAGTGTTGGTCATTCATTCGGGGCCTCATTTTTCCCAACTGATGATCACTAGGATATCCTCTACTCCTGAGTTTCTGTGGCAAAGAACCTCTGAACATTCTCCCAAGATGTACCGCATATGTGAATGTAGCCCCCAATTGCCTCTGGAATCTCCCCTCCTCTAACAGGCCCGCCTTCACTGTCTAAGACAGCTCTCTTGGCCACTGCCACATTGCACCCATATTACTAGAACTCTTTTTATGCACAAGTATAAATATGACCGCGTGTCAGTTCCCTGCTTAATATCCTTCAATGGCTAGCCAGTCATACCAGGTTAAAGTTCAAACTCCTTAACATGGTCCTTTACGATCTGGTGCCTACCCGCCATGCCAGCATCATCTTGGTCACTCTCACAATTCAGCCACACGAACCTTCTCTGAGCTTCCTGAAGGTCGATGTGCTCTTACTCTTCTACATCTGAGTTCACAGTTCCCTTGTCTAAAATGCCCTTCTACCTCCGTACTCAGCACTGCCATACAGCAGTCCCTCAGACTTTGTTTGCTGAAAGAATGAGGAAGGAAAGGAGGGAGGGAGGAAGGAATTTGCTAAAGCCTCAAGTGCTGCCCCTCCCATACCCCTCGGTCCACCCTGGCCTAGCCCTGATGTCTTAAATTCCACAGCCAGTGATATACTCATTTTGGTTTGCCTGTATTGCAGTTCTTGGTCACACCCACTCTTCCTAGGTACCACCCCAAAAATGAAAAACTGGAATCCTAGCTTCAAAGTTCCTCAACCTCAATCAGCAGAACTGTCAACTCAAATTCTACCTTTGTGTACTCTTGCGGTTATCTTTCCTACAGGTTTGACTATATCGTTCCTGGATGGTTTGCAGGGAGGGAGACACAGCCTATTCATTCATTTATAAAAAGTGCTGGGAAACATGTTTAATAAATGCTTTTGGATACGATGGTGTGGAGATGGAGATGTCAACAGAGTTTCATGAAAAAGGAGCCTAAATGCCCAGCACTTCCTCTACACCCTCAGACGAACCCAACCTGGGAACCATCACTATATACAACCCGCCTCCAACCCCAGGCTGAGCCTTCAGGGCCCCTCCCCAGAATAGCAGAAAGACCCTCAGCCTCAGGAGCTCACCCAGCCGGGACTCCACCGGGTTGATGACATGGGGGAGGCTGTGTGCGGCCAAGTAGTAGCTGGAGGAAGCTGGGTCAAAGCGGGGGTTTACCCCCAACACTGCATAGTACAGTATCTAGAGAGCAAAGAGGGAGGATGTTATTTTGTTCACTGATTTATATTCCACTTTGTCCCCAAAAAGATTTGAGGTGCCTTAAAAAGATACAATTACAACAGGGCAAAATGTAAGAGACAAAATCGGGGCTGAGAGAAAATAGGTGTAGGAAAAAAATAACAAAGCCAAGGCTAAAGTTAAAACATTAATATGTTCTTTGAAAATCACATACTTTACCAGGCTTTCTAACAGCCTAAACAAAGAGGGAAACAAACATTAGCATAATTCAGTGTTTACAAGATCAAATCAAGTCAGTTATTCAGAAGTAATTACTCCCACTACTAAGACCTGATAAAAATTTCTCCCCCAGTTTTCCCTCAAAGGGTATTATATGATACAGAAAGATACATTTGTCACATCTTTATTGCTACTATATTAACATATTTCAGGAAGTTTTTGGTTGTTGTTTTTTAAATAACTTCCTTAAGGATGACACAACTGGTGAATACAGTTCTGGAGGGAGTCATAAGGAAGTTAGTTTTTAACAAGCATTGACAAAACTCCCCAAGCTGGACACCAAGGAGGGAAAAGAGACACAGAACCATAAACACACACAGGAAATTCCTAGCAAATCAGCAAGCTCAAAGGGCTGGAAGAACAGACTACACCTGTAAACACTAAGTATGGGAGGGCTTTGCAAAGGATGGTACAGCCAGGAAAAGACTTGCCCCAGTCTCACCTGAGAGTCCACGGAGAAGTTGCCTGCAGCACTGAGGGCATTCAGGAAGGGCTGCACATAGCGCCGGACAGCCCCCTCGATGTCCCAGTTGACGTCATGGGACTTGGGGTCTGGGTTGAGTAAACTGAAGGTGATCTCATAGCCTATGGAAACAGGAGTCAGGGAAGTCAGAGGCTTCTGTGGATCATAGCAGCCTGTACCCCTAGCTGAGCTGAGCTTGTTGCTCCTCTGGAACGGGGCTGGTTGCCAGCAGGGAACCAATGGGAGGATAACACTGGGATGAGGAACACCGTGTGCTTCAAGAAAAAGTTGAGATGACAGAAGAAAGGAGTAAAGAGGGCCTGCCGAGTGGCACGTTGGTTAAGAACTGGCTTGGGACGCCAGAGGGCCCCGATTCGGATCACACGTATGAGGGCCAGTGACACTGCCCTCCACAGCTAAGATGCTGAACAACAGTTCGACCTGGAGCTGGGCTGCCGTGAGTCGCCGACGTCGGCGTGGGCTGCAACCCCTGCTGCAGCGGGTTGCCATGGGCTACTGTATGTAGCCAGCAGCCAGCGTGAGCGGCCAGCAGCCGCAGTGAGCAGCCGTCCAGAAGCCGACGACTAATCTGCCTCGCCCGGGAAGAGCACAACGATGGTGCCAACTTGGGCCAGTGAAGCAACGTCCTCCACAACTAGACAGAAGAACAAAAGGACAGCAATTTGTCTGTTCCCATCCCCCAATTCCCCAATAAAAATCTTTAAAAAAAAAAAAGGAGTAAAGAGTTTGCATGCAGATTCCCCTCCTGCCTGCACACAATGCATTTCCCTCTCCCTTCCCACAACAAAGCCCAGTCACCCTACCCAAGCTGGACTTGAGAGGCCGCCTCTTATCAGAGCTCCACTTGTCCTCTGGAAGGTGGTCAGCCAGGGCCGCAGCAAGCACATCCTCAGTCAAAGACATGGCCTGGGCTACCTGGATTATGCGGCGGCCAATGATGTTAAAGGCCTCCCGGTGCATTATTCCCCTCACGACTGCTGTCCTCTTGGGCCCGATGTAGCTCATCATGTCCTAGGAGGGGCAAAGCAAGGGACAGAATGCCCATGGCTCAAGGAAGAAAGCAGAAGAGCACTCTGGCTCCTGTTTTTCAGAACCTGGCCTTTTGCCACCGACCCACAAGCCTGCACCTCTCTGTGGGTTCATAGTGAACTATTATCTCAGCGTTACTAAGCTATGGGTGTATATGAGTGTGTTCATTCATTTCAGTTCCCTTCTCCTTCCCAGTAGACATCGGTCCAACCAGTATCTAAATCTTCACAGGCTGGAAACTAAGAGATGGCATGCTGAGCAAGAAAAGCAGAATAAACACACAACCGGACAGTTTGCTCTAAGTAAATGGCACAGGACACAAAGAGGCGAGTACAAGAATTTTCACAGCAGCACTATTTGTGATAAGAAAGTAGAGACACTACAAATACCCATCAACAACAGAATGGATAAACTGTGATATGTTTGTACAATGAAACATTAGACAGAATTAAAAATGAATGCACTAGATTCAACTACTCAGATTATCATGCACAATTCTCTCAAACATAAATGTCAAGCAAAATGAAAGCTGCAGAAGAATATGTGCTGTACCATACCATTTACATACAGTACAAAAACATGTAAAATTAAATATATTATTTATAGCAATACAACATATGTGATAAAACTTGAAAAAAAAGTAATAAAATGATATATACAAAATGTGGTCACCCTGGGCTGAAAAGGAGTGGGTATAACCATGGAGACTCAAAGGGGTGCAACTATATTGCTAGATTGTTATAAGCTGGGGCTCCGTACATAAATGTTCATTGAACTTTCCTTTCCTCTTTTTATAAGAATTAAATATTTCATTATAAATTCATAAAGAAAATGATACATGGTTTAACTCCCACCAAGCCTTGTGCTCATAAAGTGAAAAGGCCAATGTATGGCCCATATTACCATCACAACCCATTCAAATCAGCCTCTTTTAATCCCACTGATTTCTTTTCTACTTTAAATGGTCATTGGAGCTTTAACCATACAGAAGTCTTGGATTTAGAAACACCCAGAATCAATGAAAAAAATTCCTATTTGCATTCTTTAAAAAAAATATTTGGAGACTTTTCTGTAGCAAATGGAAGAACTGGGCGGCAATACTATAGGAAGGAGGTGACCAGTGAGAGAAAGAGTTGAAGGGATAGATAAGGCAAGGCCACAGCCTCTCTGCTCACCCTACCTGGGGGAGAAGTGAAGAGTGTTCAGAGATCACGTACACAGTCAGGGAGCCCTCCGCTTGTTCCTGTGGCTCAGCTAACATGGTTTCTGCCTCTGGGGACAAGAGCAGGTGGTGCGCCAGGAGGAAAACAACCATTCCCTCTCCCTCTGGCCCCCACAGAGTGCTGAACCCTCCCCTCCACCTCCCACTGACACCCAGCTGACCCTGTGGGCAGGCTTGGCCTTCAGTGGCCCAAGCTGAAACACAAGGTATCTATCTCATTCACAGCTTTCTCAAAGAGATTTTGGAGTTAAGACAAGGTATGGAAACTCTACACATTTAAGGATCAGCAGGGAAAACAGGGCTTTATGTTAAATGGTATGATCACCCCTTCCAGTACCTTGCACACTGCCCAAAGACAGAGCCTCTTCCTCATGGTCCAAAGCCCTTCGATAGGCTTTCTGGAATCGGCATTTGATTTTCATTTTGTCTGAGAAGAAAAGAAAGAAGCATGATGGGAAGAGTAAGTGTCAGACCTCTGCCCACCTTCCTAGTCCTAACACCATCCAGCATCTGAGGATAGCAAGATGACTGTTTGCAGAGAAAGAACCACGAAGCTACAGCCAATTCTAATGATATCTACGTGGATGATATCAAACTCACAATACTCCACCTTGTCTACCTGCCTAGCTCTTGCCTCTGCCTGTGTACACAGTACCTTCAACCTGATCCTCCCACAGGGAAATCTATTACATAAATAGGTGACAGCAAAACAACTGTATGATCATTTCAATTAGGTGCTCCAAAATAATGCCACTCAATGAACATTCTTGATAAAAACAAAATGCACACTTAATGACCAAACACTAAATAAGATTCCATTAAAATCAGCAATAAAACAAGGATGCCTGCTAGTTCCTCTATTATTCAGCACTGTTCTTTTTGAAGTTCCTGACCAATGTCGTAAGTGAAGAAAGAGAAATAAAACTTGAATATTTAAAAGAAAGAGACAAATGATCACTTTTTGAAGTAGTATAATTATTTCCCAAGAGAATCAATTGAAAAACTATCAGAACTAGTAATACTTAAATTAAGATGACTAGATACGAGAATATGCAAGAATCTAGCTTTCTGATAAATACCAGCAATATCCAATTAGAAAAGTATTTTTTTTTAATCTCAATCACAATAACAATACAGAACATAAAACTTCCCAGGAACTAATGTACAAAACTGTAAGAAAAAAACCAAACAGGACTTTACTGAAGTACATAAAAGATCTGAATAAAATGAAAAAAGCATACAAGGCTCCTAGAAGGAAAGACTAAATATTCTAAGGATGTCAATTCTCCCCAAGTTAATCTATACATGTAAAGCAATCCCAAAGGGATTTTTTTTCACCCCTGGAACTTGACAAATTGAACCTAAAACTTATCGGCAGAGTTCTTTATAGAAGAATTCCAGGTCATCTAGGCATAAGAAATGGTAGAATTTTAAAACCACCATTTTGCAATTGCAAATGAAATGGGATTGCAGGATCTACAGATGCTAAAATCATCAGGTGAAAAGTTAACAGGGAACTAAAATAAAGAAATCAAGCTGACAATACCTGAACTCACTGAGTCATCTCTGTATCACCCAAAGTGAAACAACCAGACATTACATGCTTCATGATCTAACAAGATAGTAAGTACACCACACCAACTATTAACATAATATATTCTTGCCTAAAAAATTGAACCTGATTTTAATCAAGCCTCTTGATCTAACTACCAGTTTATAAGACATATGGATAACAGAAGAATAAGTTAAATGAAACTAGGAGGAAGCAATCTGCCAAATCCGGAATGTGAGATGTTCTATAAAACAAATGACCTCGTTTCTCCAACAAACCAATGAAGTATATCAGGATGGGGTAGGGGGAGCTGATATATAATAAAAGAGACAAAAGAGATTTAACAAAATTTAATGTGTTGCTCCTGATTAGAAATAAACCAGCTATAAAATGACACCTTTGAGATAATTGGGGAAATCTGAATATAGACTGGAAATTAGGTGATATTAAGGAATTACGGCTATCTTGGTTAGGTGCAATAATGGTAGTTATGTTTTAAAAAAAAAAAAAAAAAAAAAAACTTCAATGGTTTCCCTTCTCATCCAGAATAAAAGGTGTATGTCAGTCTGGTCCCCTTTTACCGCTCTGGTTTTATTTCATGTCCTCTTACACGCTCCCTCATTCACCTCACTTAGCCAGGATGGGTGTTTCACTGTTCTACAAAGGCACTGCCCCTGCTCCTACCTCAGGACTTTATACTTGCTTTACCCTCTGCCCAAATGCTCTTCTCCCAGATATCTACACAATTTACTCCTTCACCTCTTTTATCGTTTAGATCCCTACTCAAATGTCCTGTTTTCCAATGATGCCTTCCCTAGCAGCCCTATCTAAAATGGCAATGACCTCCCCTTCCCCGCAAGAAACTCTCTACCCCTTTGCCCAGCTCTATTTTTCTCCTATCACCATTTAACATACATTTTATTTGTTTATCTTTTTAATTGTCTGTTTCCTCTTTTTTGTCTGTTTTGTTCACTGCTGCAGCTCTAGAAACTACAACAGTATCTGACACAGGTACTTAAATATTTGTTGAAGAAATGAACAACCCTATTACTAGCCCTATTTAACAGATGAGAAAACCAAGGTTTAGAGAGGTTAACAACCCCACCCAAATTCACGCAAATACATGGCAGAACCAAGGCTTTAATCTGGCTCTCTTACACTAAATTCCATACTCTTGGCCTCTCCACTATCCTCCACAGTATGTCCATATTATTGAACACTGTGTCATTAAATATGGAGAAGTCCACGATGAATTGACAACTATCAAGGTGCAAACTAACTTGTGAGGTATAATCCAAGAAAGAAAAAAAATGTGTGTGTACATTAGGTTGAACCATATGAAGTATGGTTTTTTTAAAAAAATGTGTGACCGGGCCGGCCGAGTGGCTCAGTTGGTAAGAGCGTGAGCTCTGAACAAAAGGGCTGCGGGTTCGATTCCCACATGCGCCAGTGACACTGCACCCTCTACAGCTAAGATTGTGAACTACAGCTCAACCTGAAGCTGGGCTGCTGTGAGTGGCCGGCGATGGCATAGGCTGCAGTGAGCTACCGTGAGCGGCAGGCAGCCAGCAAGAGCTGCCGTGAGCTGCTGTGAGCAGCCGTCCAATGGCCGGCAACCGACTGCCTCAGCCGGGAAGAGTGCAACATCATAATACCAACATGGACCAGTGAAGTGGCGTCCTCCACAACTAGACTAAAGAACAAAAGGACAACTTGGCTGTTGCCTTTCCCCAATTCCCCAACACTGTTCCCCTCCCCCAATTCCCCAATAAAATGTTAAAAAAAAAAATGTGTGACCAAGGTTAAAGAGCTAGAGAGTAAATGGAACACAGGTACTCCAAATGGTCTGGACTCAGCCTACATTCCCGTCACTCCCAACCTTTCACTTCACATTGCAGAAAAGTAGAACTGCTCATGGACTTACCCCTCTATGCTTTTCCATAGAATGCAGCATAGTTTATAGCTTGTTGGTTAAAAGCTTGAACACTGGAATCAGTCAGGCCTGGATTTAAATCTCAGTCCCACCTCTTACTAGCTTAGCTATGTGATCTTGAACAAATTAAAATCTCTAAGTCTGGTTTTTCCTTTATAAAGTAAGGACCACAATGTTAGAGAGGACTAAATGAGGCAACACATGTAAAATGCTTCACCTAGTTTCAGGCATATAGTGAACAACAATATTAACTATCATTATTACTGGCTCATGCTATTCCCTCCCTCCCCTCCTTATTTAACCTGAACTCCTAGCAATCCTTGAAAAATCTGGCTTAAAAAATTACATCTTCCAAAACATTTTCTGCTTTTCTTTCCTCCCAGGCAGTTAAAGCCTTTCTTAAATACAATCTGTTTCTTATATACTTCTCCTATAATTTCTTTATCTAAGTGTCTTTCTACCCTACCTATGAATTTCTTGAAACCATTATCAACTTCTTAGTATTCCCCAAAATCCTGGTACCTAAGGAAAGGGCCTAACACTCAGTGAAGTGTTTCATGTTAAACTGAATAAGGCCTGAATACAAGTCCAACTTGACTCCAAATCCTGTGTTTTTCCACTACATCCCACTTCCTCTGCTATACCCTAATGAGCATCAAATTGTTTCTGATCGGGTAGCATACCTTTTATGAATAAAATTGCCGTCTTAACGAACACTGAATTTTAAAGTTGCTTTTCTTCTAACCAAATACATTGTTCATTAAGAAAGGCCTTTTCATTTAAGTTTTTAACAACCTTTATGGGACACCCAGGCTCCTCCTACCCAACACTTCTCTGGGCTGAGCTCAGACGGAAGAGAAAGGCAGCCCTGACCCCCCAGGAACTCACATTTCAGAGGAATCTCTCTCTCATGCACAACGGTGAAGGGCAGCTTTTCCTGGTCGTCCAAAGGCACCGACTCTCGGGTAAACACAACAGTGATGGGCACCATGAGCCGGAGCTGCGGGAAGAAGCACCCGGGCCATCAGCTGAGTCTCTACTTTGCGGAGGGGCTGTCCCCGAGCCCTCCCCCACCGAGGTCTCTCACCTGCAGGGCATTCAACCCACTGATTTCGGAGTAAGGCAACGGGGCCCGGTAGGTCTCCGTGGTCTTCCACCAGAGTGGCAGCCCCAGCACGATGGCCACCGCAGCGAAGTACAGGGCAGCACGCTTGCCTCGGACCACCTCTGGAGGTACGGGAATACAGACTGAGGCGCGGGACGTGGGCGCGGGTGCCGACCCCACCCACGACGCGGAGGAGCCCGGGCTATGAGTACACAGAACCTCTCGGCCCGCGTTCATAGGTGTCCTGGTGCGACCTGCCCGGGCCCAAGTCTGACGGGATCCTGTCTGAAGCGACTCCTGACCCCCAGTCCGTGGGACCTCTGGCACACCACAATCCCCACACCCTCGTTACTCCCTCGCAATCCCTAAATCGCAGACCCCAACCCGAATGTCCGCGCACCTAGGTCTGTAGCTGCGGCCCCGGGGGCCGCCATGCTTGCTTCCGACTGCTCTAGCCATGGGGCGGAGCAGCGCAAGGCTCCCCCAATCGAAAGCCCGCAAAGAGGGACGGCAGCGATTGCGGCCAATCGCGAGCGACATTCCAGTCGCATAGGCGGGAGAAAGCCCTCGAGCGCTGGGCAGGGTCACAGAGAGCCTTCCCAGTGGTGTGAAAAGATACCCGGGCACCTAGGGGCGGTGGAGGAGATGTACGGATTCGGGCATCCCCATTTTACTGGTAGAACACACTCCTAGGGGTTAAGAACGCAAACGCTGCAGTCGTTAAATACTAATCTGGGCGACCACGGGCTACTCTATGTCTTAGTTTTCTCATCTGAAAATGGAGATATTTACTAAAAGGAGATCATTCATGTAAAGAACCTGACACACGGAAAGCACTCAAATGTCACCGATCACGGTCGTTGTTTATCATCCCTATCATAGAGCTCCTCTTCCAGGCACCCTCTCCTCAAGGCTCAAACATGGTGGCAAACTAGTAATACTTTTTTAGCATATTTGGCTCATTTGGTATTTTTTAATTAATTTGAACTCGTCTCCAACTTGTAAAAGTTTGAATATTTCACTTAAAATTGTTGAAAATTCAGGAGCAGACTCTGGGTCCTGATCACTTGGGTTCAAATCCTGGCTTCACCACTTATTCACCTGAGTGATCTTGAGAAATTAATTAACCCCTCTGTGCCTGTTCCCTCATATTAAAATAGGGATAATAATAGTATCTATATAGAGTTGTAGTAAATGAGTTAATAAACATAAAATGATTAGAATAGGAGCTGGCAGGAGCACATAAAAAGTGCTATATAAATTTTAGCTGATTTTCTTAACATTAGGTCAGGTTACATTGGGCCTACATCTCCATATGGCAGTCATTAGCTGGGTTGAGCAGAGATTGTGCACTTTACACAGAGCACGGCCTCCCCAGTTCACACAACACACCCACCATGTTTTCTCATATTTTTATCTGATCAGATAGATCCAGGTGCCTGCCCTACCCCCATACCCCAGCCAAGTGGTCCAAGTTCATCATGAGACCTCACCAGGTCTGCCCTTGCCCAGACCCTCAAATTGGCCCCCTCTGTGCTCCCATCTACCTCAAATGGGAGTGGGCAATAACCCTTGACAACCTACTAGATACCCTGCTAGGTCTGGGAGTCCAAGTCTTGGGGTTTTTACTTGTTGGGCAGGAGCCCAGGTGCTCCCCCTATGGTGGCTCCACCTAGCAGAATGTGTCAAGCCCTGGCAGAGCGCAATACAGCTGAGAAGTGAGAGAATCCCATCCCCTCCTATCCCAGTTTTGGGCCTTGTAGAAAAGCTGCCTTCAGGAATTGCTCAGGTCTTGCAGAATTGCTCATCCTTCTGCAGCTGCAGCCTAGTGCCTCTAATGTGGCAGTTCCTGAAAGACTTGCAGCCCTCCTTACTGCCACACTCCAGCCTTGGGCATCAACAGGCAAGAGCCTGAGCTGAGAATGGCCCCTCCCCCATAAACTTAAAGCCGAGTGAAACTCAAAACCCACCCTCTCCACATTCATAGTCAGAGGGCCCAGAGAGTCAGCAGAGAGAAAAAAACTTGGAGGTGGAAATTTGATGTGTAAAACAGACAGACAAAGTAGCATGTTTTGCTACCATTTATTTGCTATGTGCTATGTACTCAAAGCATGAGTCAAGTCTGGTATCCTACCCTCTAATCCCAGGAGAAAGGACAAGGAAAGCCCAAGGAGAAGCTACCCCATCATGGGGAAATTGTGGGGGCTGACAAGGGAAGGGGAGACCCAGGCATCCTGCTATGACTTCAAGCAGGTTCTTCTGTCCTCAGCCATGAGCGGCTCCCTATCCTCCTATCCAACAGTCCCAGGTACAGCAATGGGAGAGGAGCAGGAAGGGGAGAAAAGGAAGATGACTCAGTGCTGGATGGAGGCATCTCTGCTCTGCGTGGCTATTTCACCCTGGCCGTAACTACAGCAAAACTGGGTGCAGGTGGCTGGGCCAAGGGCTATAATATGGAATGGGTACTCAGTAGGCATGGTTGGCGATGTAGAGGGACTGTGCTGCCGCTCCACCGTCTTCTCCGCTGCCTTCATATTTGCCCTGGGCTGCAAGCCCATTCACCTGCAAAAGTGGGAGGAAGGAGGCTGTAAGCAGGCTGAGCCAGCCCACAGATGCCAAAGGCTGTAGTCTCTGGCACCTGCCTCGCTACATGCCACCACCTCCAACCGTCATCCCTCGCTCGCAACCTCAGCCCGCTTGATGAACTCCTCAGTGGCGGCCCCAGCATTGTCCCGTTGTCCTCGCCAAGCATTGAGTGCAGAAGCCTGCAGGGCACGCCCATAAGAGAAGGTGAGGGCCCAAGGCCGGGGAAGTGGGCAGCGGTTGATAGCATTGAGGTTGAGTGATGCTTCCTCTTCACTCTGACCCCCAGACAGGAAGGTCACTCCTAGAGAGGAGAAGAGAAGATAAACTGGTCACTCCCTATTTTTCCAGGGTAAGGGACCTCTGAAGAACCTGAGGATGGGTTTTAAGGATAGGAGGTTAGAAAGCAGGGTGGTACCTGGAACAGCTGGGGGCACAGTGCGACGCAGGGCAGTGACAGTTGCCATAGCAACCTCCTCTGGGCTATACTTAATGGGACAGGCATGGCCAGGAGTCACCATGTTGGGCTTGAGCAGAGTCCCCTCCAGGTACACATGATGGTCACTTAGGGCCTTGTACACAGCAGCCAGGACCTGGGGATCAAAGGAGGTTTTACTAGGTTCTAGGTCCCTGTCATTTACTGCTCTATGCTCCCTGTCTAAGGGTGGGTGGGTATGACTGTGAGGGTCAGTATAGGCTCAGACCCACAGGTCTGTTCTAGGATCAAGTAAATGAGTACTTGGGGAAGGTGCCTGCATCTGAGCCAGGGACTGTGGTGAACAAGCTCCCCTGTCAGGCTGTCCCTGCAGTATGTATGTGTGCCCAGGTGTGGACTCACCTTCTCTGTAACATACTGGCAACGTTTGAGGTCATGGTCTCCATCAGGCAGGATTTCAGGTTCCACAATAGGCACAATACCATTCTACAGGTAAGAGCAGAGTAGCTTGGGAGGGGAAGTAGGTAGATTGGGAGAAAGTCCTCTCCCCACCAGGCACGGGGCACCCATCTTACCCCCTCACATACACATGCACACACCTGCTGGCAGATGCTGGCATAGCGGGCCAGCACATTGGCATTCTCCAAAATGGCAAGTGCTGAGGGTGTGCGCTCACTGATTTTCAGCACACAGCGCCACTTAGCGAAGTCAGCACCATCCTTCTTGTACTGGGCACAGCGTTCCGAGAGCCCATCCAGCCCTGCAGGCATAGTGCCAGTCTCATCACTTTGCCCCTCTTTGCCAGCATCTACCACCCACCATCCCTATGGTCCTGAAGCCCACCCATCCTGTACCTTGAGTGGTGGTTTCTCCATCAGTCCCGGCTAGAGGCACTACACCCTTGTCAACCTGTAAAGGAAACACAGGCAGAAGGCTGAACCCAGGCAGGATTCCCCTTGCTACCCCTCACACACCAACACACACACACCTATTTCTATGCTCAGCCCCCATACAGGGCCAGTGGCTGCACCTTGATGCCAATGACAATGCCCTTATCCTGGATGGTGCGGGCAAAGGGGACACCATTATCATCTTTCTGGTAGAGTGTCTCATGGAAGAAGATGACACCGCCAATGCACTTCTTCACACGGTCATCGGCGCTGAACAGGACCTGGCGGTACAAACGGCGGTTCTCCTCTGTGTTCTCCACCCCGATTTGGCTCAGCCGCTTGGCCATGCTGCCTGGGGGCAAACAGAGGGGTAACAAGGTCATCCCCAGGGCTTCCTGGCCACCTCTACCTTACCCAGCCACAAGCCCCCACCTACCTACAGACTCATCTGCGGCCAGAATGCCTTTGCCGGGGGCCACAATCCGGAGAGCAATGTCAGACAACTCCTTTTTCTGCTCAGCAGAAAGGGCTGGGTATGAATGAGGCATGGTGACAGCTCTGTGGAATGGAGACAAGATATAAAAGCTGGCCCCCACCCACGACCTCCTCTGCTTCCTCTCCTGGCCATATGGACCAAATAGTCCTCCTCCCGCCCCTCAACAAGCATGGGGCTGGGAACAGGGCAGCAGTCCTTGGCATGGGTCCTGGGCATCAAAGTGGCACCAATCCCTCTGACAGCTAGCAGGCTTCAGGCCCCAGTTCCCACATCTTCTTTTGTCCCTGATGGGCATCCTTCCCAGCCCCAGAGAAAGATGCAGGGTGGGGGTAGGGAGGTAAGCAGCCCTGAAGCTACAGGTCTTCTTATTAAATTACTGCCCAAATGATGATGTCAACACTTCTTCCAATGAATGTGACTCCTTCTTCAGGTAGGCAGAACCCCTGACCTTTCCTATTTCCCTTTTCTCATCCTTAGCATGGCTCCTAGGGAAAGTGCACTTATTTCCAAAGCTTCAGAATGAAGCCAAACTACCCATCACCCATCTTCCCTCAGCTTCTAGAGGAAAAGGTTGGGAAGGGTCGGGGGCAGGTAGGGAGCAGGAATGGCACAAATAACTGCCGCAGGCTCCTATAATCCCTGTTTTCCATACCCCAAATCTGACTGCCTCTGCAGTCAGGAGATGGGATCAGAGGATCAGGGTTGAAAGGAATGAGCAGAGAAGCTTAGAAAGGGAGGGAGAGATGCAGGAGGCGGGAAAGAGGCTTGTGGTTGCAGGGAGGCGATAGAGAGACAGGCTAACTACTCAGGGGAAGGACCTAGACCAGGGGACAGAGAAGGCAGGAGAACTGGAGAGGGAACTTAGCCTAGGAGAGGAAGCAGGCTGAGATTAAAATGGTCTTGGTGGAAGAGGCTGACCCCAAGAAAAAACCCAGACGGCAGAGGAAGATTTGGGATTGGAAAAGCTGAGGTCCAGGTGTGAGCGCGGAGAGGAAGGGGTCTTGTCGACAGGCTGAACCATGAGTTTTGACAGAAAACAGAGAGGATAAAAGGAGCTGAGAAGGCACATCCAAGGGTCGGGGGAGTAGGGCAAGGATGGCAGGAGGAAAAGTCAGGGAGAGGAGTGGAGATGCTGAGCAGCTCCTGTCTCGTCCACGGGTCTCACCTGTGCGTAGCGAGTTAGCGGTGGCAGCACAGGAACAGCTTAGTTTCAGGGCTCCAACAGCTGTGGCTTCAACCCTAGCTCCTGTAAATGAGGCTAAGGATGCCGCAGAGCTACGTGCCTCTTCGGGGGGCGGGGCCGGCACCTCCCCGCCCTGGCCACGCCCCTCCCTAAGACTGGTGTCCTGACGAGACCACGCCCACAGAGGCGGGGCGACGAGGTGGAGTGACTACCCTGCCAGAACCTCCACGTCTGTTGTAGACAGTCCCCCTCCTAGCTCGTGGAGCCCTGCCACCAGGGCTCTAGAGACAGGAAATGGCCTTGCCCTCATTTCTGCTACAACTGCCTTTACCAGGTGCTGGGCACTGTGCTGGATATTGGGAATTAAGCCTGGTCTGATGAGGGAGAGTCATCTTAACAGTCACAATAACAACAGGTGGGGTAGGTGGGACAGAGGTATCAACGAAGTGTGGGAGTCCAGAGGAGGAAGTAGGGAACTGAGTTTCTCTGTTCTCACCCCCTTATCCACCAGGGCCTACCCCAGAGGGGGGTGGAGAAAGTAAAAGAATGAAGCCTTGTCTCTTCCCCCTCCCCTGCCAGGCCACGAGCCAGGGAACAAGCAGTCCAGTGCCCAGCATATTTGGGGAAGCGGGAGAAGGGAGGAGGGGCAGCCAACCTTGGCCCTGGATGCATTGGGAGGGGTGAGTGGAGGGTCCCCAGGCAGGAAGGCCAAGCTGCCTCTCCCCTGATCTTATTATCTACCCACCTTTCACCCAAGAAACAAGATTCACTGAGCTGGAAGAAATACATTAAATATACTTTATTTAAATAGCATTAATCCTACTTGGCCCTATGCCAATTGGTCCTGGTGTTGAGGTAAGGGAGTATTGCAGGTAAAAAGGGTTGAAACAGATTCCAGCTTTTAGTTTCCTAGCTCAGATATTCCAGCAATCTCTGTAGCTCCTTGCAACCCCTCACGACCTCTGGGATGGACAGCAGAGTCTAGAAAGAGAGGCAGAAAAGGCAACTCAGGGTCACAACCCCAGGAAGCACCCACTGAATAAGAGGGGAGGAAATGGAAGCCACAGAGAAGCCTACAACAGTGAGTCAGACCCAGCTCTGAGTACAGGCTGGGAACCAGAGCTATGCTCATCAGTACCTCCTGGGGCCAGGCCTCGTATCAGGTGCCTTAGTGGCATCAACTCCCTCCCTCCTTTACCTCATAAATATGCTGAACGATGTCATCTAGTTTCTTTAACTCTTTGTCAGAACGCCGAAGATTCTCCTCCAAGATGTTTCTCTAGAAAACAAATACGTTGCATAATTCCTATGCTTATAAGAACAGCATAGCTTGTGGGGCAAGGGAAATATGCTAGGACACTTGCTAGTGGCAGTGAGAAACGGCCCCTGAACGGAATGGGAATTCTTACATGGCTCTGGAACTTGACCGTGAGTTTTGCCTTCTCATTTTTCATCTCCAGGAACATCACCCTCAGTTTGTCCACCTATAGATATGTTCAGATCAGTAGGGGCACAGCCTAGGATTCCCTCCAGCTGCTCAGCCTCTCTGTTAATTCTGAGTCACCTCCTGGGAGAGCCACACTTTCTCCTGGATCCAGTTAGTGGCCATGGGCTGACAGTTGGGGTCCAGCTGACTTGCCAGGGTCTCTTGGAGCACCTTAGTCTCTGTCTCTGCACGCCGAAGCAAGCGGGTAAGCTGGGTCACCTCTTCTCTGAGGCTCTGGGGATGAGAATGGAGAGGTATCCAGTAGCCCTCAAAGGTCCTCTCCATCCTTATCCCATGTGGTAAGTAAGGTAGACCAGGGGATCCAATTCCCACGTGTGGGATCCTAGCATCCTAGCTACCAGTGACACAGAAGGCAGGGGGCCAGACATCATGATGAACATACTATGAGTTCGCCACTCTTGTCTATCTGCTCTAGAATCTTCTCATTCTGCTGCTGTATCACTTCCTGGAGCTCCTTTTCATTCTGTGAGGGAAAGGGAGATAAGAAGGCACTGAGAGAGCTGGCTTCTTTGCAGCCCTTGCCAGGAGATAGGATTTAGTGCTCAGCCCAGGTGCTGCCAACCAAGAACACTCCATTTCCTCTAGGGCTACATCAGGCAAGGCACACCTCAATGTTGAGTGTTCTGCTAGAGTTCCCAACTTCTAGGTCAGCTTGGGAGATGGGTCAGCCCATAGCTGATCCCCAAACATACGAAATGTCTGATCCCAGGAAGGGCAAAACTAGGGCAGTGGTTGGAAAATCCCCACCACCCAGATTCCTGGAGAGACAATGGCTCCCAGTGGGCCAGGAGAGCTGCCCCAGTTCTTCATCGCCCCACTTCTAGGCCCCTCCTTCACCTTGTAGCGCAAGCACAAGGCCTGGTTCAGCTTCTCTATGTCCGCTTCCTTTGCCTTTTGGGCTTCCTGATGCTGTTCTTCCTGGGCCTGCAGTCTAGCCTGCAAATCACAACTAGGGGAGAGAAGAATTCGGCATTATTCCTGTCCTCTCAGGGGCTGGCTGGGCCCTTGACATAAGGGGCTAACCTCTCTCACCAAGACTGCACTCCACTCACATCTTTCGCTGCGAAGTCCTGACGGCTTCTTCCTTGGACTCTTGCAGCAGGGAACACAGGCTCTGAAGCTCCACAGTCATAGCATTCATTTCTGCCAGGCTCTTCTCTATGCTTGGGGTCTCTGAAAGACAAAGTCCTAGATAGAGGTAGAGCCCTTTAGCACTGGAAGGAAGGAATTGTGTAGCCATCATTTCCACAACTCTTATCCATGTTCCCCACCCATAGGATTTGAATGTCCGGAACACTGCAGGTCCCAAAAGGCAGAAATATAATGAGCCCAAGTAGAATTGAGGTTTTTAGAGCAAAGCACTTCTCACTGCTTTAGTCTTTATCATCGCTACTTGATCTAGAAATGAGGCAGGATCCCTGGAGCCCATCCTAACCTGTAGGCTGAAGGGAAGCCACTGAAGCTACTCGGGTGAAAGCACTCTTGTCACTTCCAAGCAAGGACACAGGAGCTGATTCTGGCTCTGAAACAAAACCCAACCATGGTAGAGTCACCCCTCTGGTGACTCAGTCAAAGGTCTGCCAAAATGGAAGCCAGGGAGACAGAGGTCTGTTTGTGGGCGTCTTTAACCGCTGAAGATATCAACAGGGTCACAATTTTCCCACCCCTAAATCCCAGGGCCTTTAACCTTTGTCTGCCATTACTGTCGGGATGCTTCCCAAGAAGGTGCTGTTGGTGGGTGGAGGGTCTTCCTGGGCAGGAGCACAGGCTGTGCTTTGTAGGAGGGTCTCTGGTTCAGCCTAAGGGCAAATGACGGGGAAAAAATCAGCTGCCTTTCAGGGTTTGTGATTTCTCCGAACTCCCAGGTACTTAGCAGACCAGCCATCTCCTCTGGAATGCTGTTCCAATATTACCCCTCTTCTCTATCTTTAACTTCTCCATTAGCTCCTTTCCCTGAACTTAATTCTTTCTCACTAAAGGAACAACTTAAAAAAAAAACAACAACAAAAACCCCACTTTTTCTTACCTTAAATTCATTTTTAGCTACTACCTTTTCTCTTTCCCTTCAGTTAAGGAAGGGAGGAAGGGAGGAAGGGAGGAAGGGAGGAAGGGAGGAAGGAAGGAAGGAAGGAAGGAAGGAAGTCCGGCCTACATTTCTTGCCTAAAATTCCCACCATCTATTGACTCCCAGCCCACTAGACTCAGGCTCCTGCCCCACCAGTCTACCAAAATTCTCACCAATGGCATCCTGACCTTCAAATGCAAAGGACACTTTTCACCTCTTATTTACCTGACCTATTTGATAATCATTGACCGTGTTCTTCTTTAGAAACTTCCTTTTCTTCGCTTCTGTGTCATGGCTCTCTCTCCTTCATAGGCAGGCCTCATACCTCTCTGGCTACTTCTTCTCTCTATCCAGAGTCCCTTCCTTAACTGTTGGGCTCCTTCTGGTTAATCCTTGGCCCTCTTTACACTCTAACCCATTCCCTAGGTGGCCTTGCCTCAGGAGCTCTACAACAATATCCATTTCTACATGGATGACCCTTCAATCTGTCTCTCTCAACTGATTTTTTTCCAATCTCCAGACCCAGAGGCTCAGCTGCCTGCGAAAAATCTACCAGAATGCTCCACAGTGCACCTGAACTTTAGGAGGTATAAAGCTGAACTCACCCTTTCCCCTGTCCTACCCCCACCAAACATCTGTTCCTCCCTGTATTTATGATCCTAGGGAAGGGGGACAGCAAATTACAGTCTGCGGTTCAAATCTGGGCTGCCATCTATTTTTGTAAATAAAGTTTTATTGGAAAACAGCCACATCCATCATTTACATACTGTCTGTGGCTGCTTTTGAGCTACAGAAGCAAAGTTGAGTCGTTGAGACAGAGGCCACGTGGCTCGAAAAGTTGAAAATATTAATTTTATCTCACTTTATAGGAAAAGTTTGCCAAGCCCAGTTCTAAGTGTCACCATCTTTCCAGAAATCTAGAGATCATTTACTCTTCCACCTTACTCCTATCAAATTGGTCACCAGATTCTATTACTTCTACTCCCTAAATATGCACTGAATTCATCCAATTCATCCCCTCCTCTCTACCCCATCTATAATTGCCATTAGTTCAAGCCTTCAAAATCTGGTCTCCTGCCTACTTCTTCAGCCTTATCTCTTTGTCATATAGCTCCTACACTCCAATTATATAAAGAGGTACTTCCCAGTCCCCAAACTTGCCACATTACATATGAGCTGGGCCTTGCCTTGTTCACCTGTAGTCCCAGCACCAGGTCTTGTTACAAGGTAGACACTACAAAAAAGTACACATAGTGCCTCTACGACTTGTATATACTGTTCTCTCTGCTTGGCGGGTCTTCCTTTATACCTACCCCGGACAAACTTCTAAGCCTCAAGGCTCTGCCCAAGGGTTACCTGTTTGAGGAGAACATCGTAACTCTCAAAGGTAGAACTGATACTCCTCTCTCTGTGCTCCCACAGTGGTCATCCATGCAGACCTCTATCATGAGCACAAGTTTACATCTGTCTGTCTTCCCTGTAAGACTGGATTATTTCGTATTTCCTGTGCTCAGCACATACTGGGGAGAGGGTCAGACCATAAGCATGTCCAGATTTCAGGATCCTGGCTATGCCTTTAACTATTGAATAAGCTAATTAACTCTGTATTCTGAAAAATATAAACCTTTTATTGTTTAGTGTGCACTGCAGGCAAGCCAAAGGAGCAAGACTAAATTTCTGCTTTCTTTCAACACAGTCTAGTTGAAGAGACCAGACATCCAAGGAAAATTAATACAAGTCCAAAAGGAGAGTAAGTTCATGAGGAACATGGCAGGAGATCACTGAGTCCATGTGATTTGGGAACATTCCAAAGAAGAAAATGAATTAGGGAGTATTTTAATAGGAAAGGAAAAGGTATTTCCGGTTTGAAGACAGAGGAGATGGATATGTTAAAAGCCCGAGGCTGGGTGGGAATGGCAATGGAACATGTGTGTGGTGTATAGGCAGGCAGCCTAGTTGGAATAAAGGGTTCATAGTAGGGAGGTAAGGGACAGATGAAAAAAGTTTGAGTGAAAGGCCGAAGAGGCCCTGTAGGCAACTGAAAGTCACTGAAGGTCACGGAGAGGGAACAAGAGTAGTGTTTTAGGAAAACCAATCTATACAATAAAGATACAATTGAAAAAACTCAGCGAGGGCCGGCCGAGTGGCGCGTTGGTTAAGAGCTGGCTTGGGACGCCAGAGGGCCCTGGTTCGGATCCCACATATGAGGGCCAGTGACACTGCCCT